CTTCAAGCATTTCAACATGAAATATTGGAAATCTTAACATAATTGCATATTCATGTTATAGAGTTTTTCCACCTCTTGACATAGTGTTGGCATTGTAAAAAGAGTAATGCTAGCTGTGAGTGTTTAACTGGAGAGATTTCTGCTTATTAGCAATATGCCATCTTCTGTCATCAGAGGATGATCATGTGGGTCTTGCAAACTCCCCAGATCTGTACACTTGTATTAAGTGGTTGTAGTCCTTAGTAGGCACTTACATTTCAATGAGCATTGCAGGTGCTGGCTGCAAACAAGTGGCTGGTTTCACCAGTTATAATTAGGGCTAGGATTTTGTCATGGAGGTCACGGAATCCGTGACTTCCAGAAACGTCCATGACTTGAGCCCATGGTGCCTGGGAGCTGCAGGGTCCCCCCACCACAGGTGGTGGCTGGGGACTGTGGTGGCCCCAAGCTCTCAGCCACTGCAGGAGGTGCCCTGGAGCTGAGAGCCACCGCAGGTGGTTGGTATGCCCCGCAGCTCCCAGCTGCTGTGGGCGGTGGGGGTTCCCCAGGAGCTCCCAGTCCCCATGGGCAGAAGGGCCCCCGGGAGCTCCCAGCTGCCACAGGCGGCGTGAGTGCCTCGAAACTCAGAGCTGCCACGGCGGCCAGGGTGCCCCAGAGCTTGGAGCCACAGGCAGTGGGGAGACCCTGCAGCTCTGAGCTGGGGCCCTGGAGTGGTGTGGGGACTGCGGAGCTTCCCAGTTTGTCATGCATATTTTTAGTAAAAGTCGCCAAGAGGTCACTGGCTTCCGTGAATTTTTCTTTATTGCCCATGACCTGTCGGTGACTTTTACTAAAAATATGCGTGACAAAACCTTATCCTTAATTATAATGTATTTCTTGAGATGTGCAGATAACTGACAAACAGATAATGCATATTATGAAAATAATCATTTCATTATATAGATGTATTCTACAATGATCCAAATGTATGTCTCATTTTTTTTTAATTCAGCAACAGAAAGTATCTTTAATGTGCATACATTTACTCCTGGATTTTGCGCCAAAAAATTAAAAATTCTGCACCTAAAAAATAAAAATTCTGCGCACAATATTTTAAAATTCTGCAAATTTTAATTGTCAAAATAACACTACATAATCACACCAGTTTCAATTATTTTGGCAATTTATTTCAAAATACCTGTCAGCAAGTATGTCTGTAACAACACAGACACACACAAATTCCCCAAGGAGTAGAGAGTTAAAGAAACCCCTATGACAACCTGGTCTCTGTTTCTCTGTCCCCTTCCCCTCCCCCAAGAGCCCAGCTTGGGGGTGGGGGGAGGGCAGACACCCACAATCCCTCTTCCCTTAAGAGCCCAGCCATGATCCTCCCTCCCACCCCCAGCCAATACACCCAAGCCCCCTCTTCCCCCAGAGCCCAGACGCAGGGCCCCCCTTGCCCAGATACCGACATCCACTCCCCCCCAGAGCCCAGCTGTGGCCTCCCCCAGCCCAGACACCTGCCCCCCTTCCCCACCCAGAGCCCAGGGATCTAGAGGGAGAAACAGCCTGATGCTGGGTCCAGGGCTTGTGTGGAGTTTCCTGTGCGCCGCCGTCTCCTTCCCTCAGGGCGTGCTGGGAACTGCAGCTGCCATGAACCCCCTAGTTCCCTCTCTCTCCCTCTGGCAGTGTCTTCTAGGTGCAAGCTGGGCTCTGCTGGGTCCAGAGGTCCTTAGTGGCTGCCAGGAGAACTGCAGCCCATTTCTGTGGGGGAAAGAAAATTCTGCGTGCACAGTGTTAATTTCTGCAAAATTCTGCATTGCGCAGTGGCGCAGAATTCCTCCAGAAGTAATACATCTTTATACTGCTCATTTCCATTTGTTTGTTTGCTCCCCATGCCTTACTTCCTGGTCCCAGAAATAAATAGATTTTTTTTGTAGTTTATCACATTTAACTTTCTTACATTAAAAACATATATATGTATATATAGCATTCTCATTAGGTAAAGTTATAGTTGAATTTTTGTACTGTGAAGTTTTTCTGTATGCACTGCTATCTTGAGATGCTCAGAACATTCTCAGGCATTTTTCTTTTGGGCTGAAACTTTCCATGGTTAGTCTTTTGTTATGATTTCAGAGGTAATTTCTTCTCTAAATGTTTCTTCAAAAACAATCCAGCTATTATTGAGTTAGTAGTGATTTGGAGAGAGGGTTTTCCCTCCCCCAACTTAAAAAAAAAATCAGATGCCTTTCTGCAGAGATACTCCAACAGTGGCTGAAATTTAAAAATAAAACTTTCCATGTGGCTAGGCCTTGCTGAAGAAAAAAGAACACAAATGAAAAATGAATGTTGTCATTATTGTGCAGTACTCAGCTTATTAATGTTTTTTTATATTACTTAGATGTGAGGCATTATGATGGAATACATCCCTTTATTCACACCCTGCACATTTTTGTAATAATCTTTATACAATATATGCCTTGTGAGATCTCATTTGGAAAGTCAGAACTTGCTGATCAGTAATATCATGGTAAAGTGCCTGTTTACAACAGTATACGTAAAGTTATAAACATAAGCTGAAATCATGACTGAAGTGTGTTTTCCAGTTAAGTCTGGGGAATGTTTAAACGAGTTTCTCAAAGACAAAGGGCAAGCTGACGTATTTTTTGTAAGATTTTTCAGTTTATAATCATTTCACTCTTCTTCTTTCCCTCCAATATTAAAATCTAATTTTTATATGTGAAGCCAGTATGTAGGTATGCTTGAGTTAAATGGGTTTATCCCTTTTAATAATATAAACCTGTCTCAGGCAAATACAATCCTCAACAGAGTTTTAAAAAAAATCTATGAATCTTGGTATCTTGTTTTTTTTATAGTTACCATGTACTGTAATACAACCTGCTTCAGGTAATTACCATATATTATAGCGGTTGCCATTAGTGACTGCTATAATTAAGGTTGCAAATCAGTTTCCATTATAATCCCTTGTTTTCACACAATCATAACTTGTCAAAACATTAACCTTTGGGACTGAAGTTTTCATGCTTACTTTCAGCTTGAAGGTAGATATTTTCGGGGGCACAGTTTGAAATATCATGCAGGAAACTCATTTCCAGTCTTTTTGAGTTCTGAGGGCTGTTTAACTGGGTAGTGAAATGTGTGTCTGACTGTCATCTCCTCCAGAGATATGCCCTAAAGAATGAGTATAGGTCCTGGAGCCCATACCTCTTTTTTGTGTTCCCTTCCCACTTTGGCCTGGCCTCAACAATACTTTGCGCTTATACAGAAATTTACAAAGATTACTTGGGCCTGGCTACACTACCACTTATTTCAGCAAAATGTATGTTGCTCACTCAAGGGTGTGAAAAAACACACCTCTGAGCAACCTAAATTACACCGACAAAAGCGCTGATGTGTACAGCACTTTGTCGGTGGGAGAGCTTCTCCCGCTGACATGGCTACTGCTGCTCGTTGGGGGTGGTTAAATTATGTCGATGGGAGAGCTCTCTCCCGTCCACCTAAAGGGGTTACATCATGAGCGATCTTACAGCTGCATCGGTACAGCTGTGCTGCTGTAAGCTCTCTAGTGTAGATATAGTCCCAGTCATTTTTCACAAGAGTCTCTCCCCATAAAGTAGTCCAAATTAAATTGTCTGTTTTACTGATGAGGAATGTGGGCTTTGTGTATTGAGAGTGTGGGGGACATAGTGGTCTAGTGACTTGATCATGGTCCTGTGCATCAGGCGACCTGGATTCTAATGCTGAATCTGACGCTGCCGTTCAGGTTGACTTTGGGCAAGACTCTTTACCAGACTGTTCCTCTGTTTACCATTTGTAAAACTGGGATGATATTTACCTACCTTTTAGATCTCCATTGAGACTTAAACATCAAGCCAGGTCTGATGGCTACATACAATACTGTAAATTATTGTACAGTAGTTGCTGTTCAATTTTGTCATTTACCTACATTTACCACACAGGGGTATCTAAGATTCTACAGTTTTTCCACATAGCGAGAATATGAAGTTTCCCTCGTATTACAAGTCTTACTGTGGTCTTTCCTGCAACTGTGGGTAAACATTGACTTTTTAATGGTGGTCACTACAGGGAAGGTTGTATAATAAATTCCAGTTTGTATTATATTTTGTATGACTTGACAATCTGTTATGCTGTAAAGGGAGACCAGGCATAAGTCCAAAGAGGTGGCTAGGCAGGTAGAGTTAAGGATAAGCGATCAGCCTTAATGCTCATTTCTCTGCTTGATTTGTGAGCCTTAACATTACATTAGCACTTGTTCTTTTGCATAAATTTCTTTTTAAGAAAAGATGATTGGTTTTTCCACACAAGCTTCTGCGAGAATGTTTTAATTAGTTTCATGAGATATATGATAATAAATTGAAGTATACTTACTATGCAAAATTACAGTTTTTTGTTAAGTTTAGAAATAGTTCTCCATGATTTATTCTGTATGCAGACTGATATGACTATATAGATCCATGCTTTGCAAGATGATGTAGACTGTAAAGGTATGAGTTATAAACCAGCTTTTTTCATAACTATAAGAAAGCACAAATCCTACAAAGGGATCTGCTTCCAGGAGACCTGATGCCTGCACAGAATCCATTGACTTCAGTGGGACTGCATGCAGATGTGAGGGTCCCCGCTTGTGGATTCTTTCCCAGGATTGTGGCCTCCGACCTGAAAATGTTACACTTCTCCAAAGTCCTATGATTTTTCTGGCAAAATATGGTATTTACAAAATCAGTTGCCCTGGCCACAACTGCATTTCAAATGTAGAAATGCTATGGGACTGTTCCATTGAATTTAACAGGCGTTGGATCAGGTGCTAGATCTCTGAGGTATCCCAGGTGGATGAGAGGAAAAAAAGCCTTTATGCAAATCATTACAAACTAAAAAATTAATATATCATGTGTCTGAAATGGTTTGACATTATTTCAAAGACTACTCGTTTTAAATGAATTTCTGATCTCTGTCTCTCGCTCTTTCTTTGTCTCCTCCAGTGGCAGATGAAAGCCAGGTTAGTTCATTGGCTGGACACAAACAAGGTAAGAACTTTCTTGTACCTTATTTCACCTGCCCTTCCCTCAAAAAAGAGCCAATCTGTGAGCAACAGCTGGATCTCGCTTATAGCAACTGTGGAGGCTGAAAGGTTTGCAAATTAATGCATAACTTCACTTCCACAGTGATAAATTAAGGCTTACTTATTGCTTGGCAGTGTATGTAGTTCCATACATAGGCTGGGCTCATTTGCAGGAAAAGCAATAACGGTTTCTTTAAAAATATATCTATTGAACATTGAGCAGAGTGTGAGTTAAAATAAGTAAAGGACAAAACCTGTAATCTTTTCATGTGCCAATGTAGGCACTTAAACAGTGTAAATTGTGAACAATATAAATGTCTTATTCTCTTTGTCCCCCTGGAAGAATTTCAGTTTTCCACTCTCACAATCTGAAATATTGAAGATAGACAGCCCTACCGAAGCTTTCACTATTGTTTTTTTATTCCCATTTATTCATCTGCAGAAGTTGTTCTTTCAGTGTGACTATACTAATGAAAGGATCCACTTTTTCTTAAACTGCTTAAGATCTATATTTGTTAGCAATGAAGGTTTATATCCAGCAGTTTTACCATAAAGTCTTGTAATAACAATTCTGTGAAACAAGTTGCAGTACTGTACAAGGTGCAGTTGCTTTATTACAGTAACAAGCCTTGTGGATAAGCGGGGAAAGTGATAGATGTGGTGTATCTTGACTTTAGTAAGGCTTTTGATATTGTCTCGCATGAACTTCTCATAAACAAGCTAGGGAAATGCAACCTAGATGGAGCTACTATAAGGTGGGTTTATAACTGGTTGGAAAATCATTCCCAGAGTAGTTATCAGTGGTTCACAGTCAAGCTGGAAGGGCGTATCAAGTGGGGCCCTGCAGGGATCAGTTTTGGGTCCAGTTCTGTTAAATATCTTCATCAGTGATTTAGATAATGGCATAGAGAGTACACTTATAAATTTTGTGGATGATACCAAACTGGGAGGGGTTGCAAGTGGTTTGGAGGATAGGATTAAAATTCAAAATGATCTGGACAAACTGGAGAAATAGTCTGAAGTAAATAGATGAAATTCAATAAGGACAAATGCAAAGTACTCCATTTAGGAAGGAAAAATCAGTTTCACACATACAAAATGGGAAATGACTGCATAGGAAGGAGTACTGCAGAAAGGGATTTGGGAGTCATAGTGGATCACAAGCTAAATATGAGTCAACAGTGTAACCCTGTTGCAAAAAAAGCAAACATCATTCTGGGATGTATTAGCAAGAGTATTGTAAGCAAGACACGAGAAGTAATTCTTCTGCTCTACTCTGCGCTGATTAGGCCTCAACTAGAGTATTGTGTTCAGTTCTAGGCACCACATTTCAGGAAAGATGTGGACAAATTGGAGAAAGTCCAGAGAAGAGCAACAAAAATGATTAAAAGTCTAGAAAACATGACCTATGAGGGAAAATTGAAAAAATTGGGTTTGTTTAGTCTGGAGAAGAGAAGACTGAGAGGGGACATAACAGTTTTCAGGTACATAAAAGGTTGTTACAAGGAGGAGGGAGAAAAATTGTTCTTCTTAACCTCTGAGGATACGACAAGAAGCAATAGGCTTAAATTGCAGCAAGGGTGGTTTAGGTTGAACATTAGGAAAAACTTCCTAACTGTCAGAGTGATTAAGCACTGGAATAAATTGCCTACAGAGGTTGTGGAATCTCCATCATTGGGGATTTTTAAGAGTAGGTTAGACATACACCTGGCAGGGATGGTCTAGATAATACTTAGTCTTGCCATGAGTGCAGGGGACTGGACTAGAAGACCTCTTGCGATCCCTTCCAGTCCTACGATTCTATGATTAATTTTCAAGTATGCATCCCAAAGGATTGTTATTTTTAGGGTAACCATTAAACAATGATGCAAAAACTCATGTGACTTAGGAGACATGGAAACAGGGTTTCTAGAAATTTCAGGTTATCCACTGATGAACTTTTACGTATAATAGATAACCACGAAATTCAGTGCTGTTCCTTATTACATGTTTTGATGCTATATTTTTACATCAGTTTGTGAGATCTGAAACAAGTTCACCTTTCTATTTCATTCGACAAAGTTTAATTTTTTCGTAAGTCTGTTGTTTTCCTAGTACAAGTATATATCTAATCATTTTTGACCATTAGAGCAGTGGTTCTAGTAAAAAAAAAAAAAAATTACTTTCAACGTCTAACCCTGAGAAAAGTAGCAAATGAAAATTCAAGGCTCTCGGGGGAAATGTTTTTATGAAATGTCCATCACAGACCAGCATTTGCTCTACTTATTAGGTACAGTGACAGTCCCTATGAAGTCATGAGCCTGGTTTGTCACTTATTGTCTTTCTCTGATCTGGCACAAGAAATGACTGTGCCTGTGTTCCAGATCTTCTCACATGTGTGGACAGCTCCAGCTTTGCTTTCTGATAGTTGTTTTCTTTGTTTAGCTCTTCTGTTTTTCTCATGACATGCCTTTCTCTGCAAGGAACATCCACTGATTTCCTGATTCAGTTCTCAAAGAGTTACTGTACAGATTTCCTTACAGCCACTTTTGTTTCAAAAACCTGGATTTAAAGACCAGTCAATAACGAGATTTCTTCATATTTATGGTGTACCTGGCCTATACAGCCTTACATGTCAGCTGTAGCTTTGTTGTTATACAGCTCTCTGATTTAGGCATTCCATACTTGAAGACCATTTCCTTAACTTAGGGAAAGCACCCTTTAAATTCTTCCTCTGGCTTCCTCCTCTCGTTTGTGTACCTCAAATATTCTTTCTGAAACTAGAGGATCAGCTCATATGTCCTGTTCCTACAGCTGAGGAGGAACATTTTGTTTCAGCTGCCTCTCCTTTGGGTATGAAAAAGCTTCTAAAAATGACTCATCAGATAGAAAGGTCTTTGGGTGTGCCCCTTTTCTCCAGTCAGGAGAAGGTTCACAAATATTGCAACATCATTCAATTTGCCAAGGATAAAAAGAGGGTCTTCCAATCAACGAACACTGGAACAGAGCCTGTTGAGATCATAAATTGTTGGCAGTCAGTTGCTAAAAGGTGCTAATAACCTAAATATCAGGTTCTTAAGCAGCACTTCCAATTTTCTTTACACACCCTTCTCCAGCTTCTCTATAGATGACCTAATGAAAGATGCAGCAGTCCCAAGTCTTTTATTGTTTGGGGGTATTTTTAGACATTTTGGCCAATTTTAGGGAGACAAGAGCAACTGCTATCCTTTGGATTTGTCTGACCTCAACATGGAAAGCAACTCTGTCAGCAGAGGATTGAAAAGCACTTTTTCCCATGGATACCAGCATCTAGTATTGCCTAAACCACTTTTCAAAAAACCAAACCAAACAAACAAAAAGCAACAGACTCCTCCTTTCAGCTTCTTAAGCACCTTCCTGCATTGGCCCCTGCAAACAGTCATATTTAAAATGTGCTCAAGAGCATGGAGTTATTTTCCTACTGTTCCTGTTTGCCTGACATATTCTGTCACTTTATACTATTGGGTCTTAAAGGTTGAAAGACCAGGGCTATCCTTTCCTGTTTCATCTTCCATCACATAGCCTTCCTAGGTTTCCCATTTCTGCTGCAGGAAGCAAAACAGCCTATTATTTTCTCATTGCAAAAAGGAGAGATTCCACCTCATCCTAGACTTCAGGAAATTAAACATATTTCTCTAGTGAATTAATTATCACATACTGACAATCAATGCAATTATCCCTTCTCTCCTTCAGCATGACTAGCTCTATGAGATGTGTGGTTCAATAACTCTCGAAGGAAAAATCCTTCTGGTATGTAGTGGATGGAAAACGCTTCCATCCTTTAGTCTCACCCTTTGGTCTAGTTACAGTTTGGAGGGTATTTACTAGTTACTGGGCAGAAGTGATGGCACATTTTGGTCTACCTCTGCCTAGGCAAATGTTTTTTCAGAGCTATGTCCCAAGGCAAGGCATTAGAATCATGTGTAGCTATAGCCTCCTATTTCTATTTCCTGGTATATTTCACCCACAAAAAGTAGTCTTTTTTTATTCTCTAATGAAAATACGTGCTTTTAGAAACATCCCTGGATTTCCCCAGGACTGAAGCATTCCTATTGGAAGATTTGTCCCTGCAGGTACCTCCATTTCACTCACATGCACCACAAACAACAAGAGTATGACTGTACGTTCAGGTTATTGTGACATTATGCACCTTGATTGTGCACATGGCCTGTCTGAGAATGAGGCTACTGCAAAACCTATTTTAAGTTCTTAGAACTGCAGATGTTTTCTGCAGAAACTTCTGCTCATTGCAGTGGAAAGAGAAGAATCCCTGAATTAGTGTGTTGATATGTCCCATTTAGCCTGCCCTGGAAAGAACCTAGAAGCTCAAAATTCCTTCAGGAAGGCAGGAGTGTTTTCTTATCTCCACCTCCCCTTGCGTTTAGCATAGTAAACTTTTTCATTCCCTAAATCTCAGTGATAACAAAGTTGAGAGGGAGAG